TAACGGTCGCCCGGCATCGACTGACTGACCAACTCCCTGCGCGACTTACTCAGCGTCTGCTACTACTCCTACTTATTATAGGTGGAAGAGTCTATTAACAATAGAATAGGTGTTTTCCACTATAACACTGTCCCTAGTTATACAGAAGACTTCAATAAGTTTAACAACGTCCGTATAACCAAGCAGTGAAAATAGGCGTGCTCAAATCACTGCAACGTATTCATTTTGGTGAATCAAATAACAATATCGGGAAAAGTATTTTGTTGGACGAAAGTGTACATAAGATCACCGTCATTATTAATTCATTTCATCCCGGGCACCAAGAGCGACAGCCATCTTTCGTTTGATCGATCAGATCGTCGCGTACAGCTAGTATTTGCTATAATGTCTTTTTCGCAAACGATCGATTCCATCCTTCACTCAAGGAAAGACTCTCAAAGCGATCACTCGTTTCGGGTCAATTTGCGGGTCTTACTCTAACCGGAGTTCACGCTTCTCTAAGCCGGAAAGCATCTTTTTTTTCTGGGATCCACCGTTATCGTCATTTTGTGCACGCATCTGGCCTAGATACGTCATCTTGTGCTCACATCGAGCCTCGGCATACCTTTCGGAAGGATGGAGGTAACAGATCGCGTAACATATCATAGGAGCCCTGTAGACCCAAAGGCGTTTAAACAAAACTAATTCAATTCAACTGATACAGGAAATTGGAATTACTGATAAGTGGTAAAAGATGAGGAGTAGTTGCGTGAAAGGCACACATTCCTTAGAAACTGCTGATTAACTACAGCATAACCCGTTACACAAATTCCGACCAATTCTTCTCCAGTTAGGAATCGGCAACCGGCAGGCCGTTGAGTAACTTGCACGCTCAGTCCGTCCAAGAGGCTCAGAAGAGCCTTTCTACAAGCCCAACTACAACCTAACCATCCTATCACAGTTAATTTGGGCTCCTCCCATCGTTTCATACAGTACGGTTTCTAATTACAAGCATGTAGACGTCATCGACATAGGCAGAATACGCAGCCAAGTTGGTAGGACCAGGTAACTTAATACCATTTTCAGGTATTTGCATTTTCACACCATATCCGCGCCGTTATCTCAATCTTCTATGTCTTTAGAAGTTTCGGCCAACGGGAGCGAACAACCCAGCCAGGTTCTATATTCCCTTTTAAGGGAAACATATTTCCTCGGTCAGATTTTTTTTCTCGAAAACCCATATGTATTCAGCTTCGTATCCGAAACGTAAACAAAGCAATTTCTAAAGACTTAATGGATTGAACTTTAATCCGACATTTTTATTAATATCAGTCGTTATATTTAGTGTATATTTATTCTAATAAAAACGGGACATCTATTATCTGTTATAGTAACATTTCGGTCGTTGTGACCTCCGGACTTCTTAAGGTGTATTTAGGATTAGGAACAATCTGGCTAATCTACAGGGAATTTTGAACTGAACCCTTTTTTTTTAATCTACGGTGATAGACTGTTCTCGTTCCACTGGCTATGTCTAGTTCTTATTTATTTATTGTACTACTCAGTTATTGCTACCAGAAATTCAGACAGAACATATATATATATATATATATATATATATATATATATATATATATATATATATATATATATATATATATAAAAAAAAGAAGAGAGAGAGGTAAAAAGAAGAGAAGAGAGGTGCCGCAAATGTTTTTGGTTGTAATGTGGATTTTTTTTTAAAATATTTTGCTTTATTTTCCATAATTTTACTACACGTGTTTCTGGTCTCGCGACCGTCTTCAGGTAAAAGGCGGAGATTTCCACATATTATTAAAAATAATTAATTTTTTACTTATGTTTTTCAATGTTGAATATTCTCGATATGAGACATTCTCTGTTATATATATATATATATATATATATATATATATATAAAACAAATAGAGGGTAAGTGAAAGACGACAAAGAAAAGGATGTTAAGTGACTTTCGAGAAAGAACTTCAAACTAATAGCGGTTTTATTTATACAATCATTTTCCATGTAACATTACTGGGGGTCCACATAGACCAAATTCACTTCGGAACGGTTGTTACAAATTGGAATTGCAGTTTCTACAGCAAACTACGCCATATTGAAATACTAAAAATAGAAAGATAACTCTTAAACTAACAAAAGATCAAGCGATGTAAGTTAGCGCCCCTTTTATTTTATTGCGTGTTTTGATTGTAAAAGTTGAATAAAAATCTGAGAATGATATATAAAGGAAGGATTATATATAAAAAAAAAAAGAAAATTATATAAAGAATATAATTTCTATAATACAATTCAGAAACATATAGTAGAAAAATATAAAATAACCTTCTTTTTTTTTTTTTTTTTTTTTATTTAATGTTTATGGGGGTCCACAAAGAAACTAAGGGTAAAAGTGGTTTCCGGGTAAAAAAAAAGTTTGAGAACCACTGATCTAGTGTATGAAGGTGTTTAACTTAGCCTATCTCATTCAACATTTTATCACTTTTGTTTTTGTTTTTACTTTTGTTTTGTTTTGGCGGCGTTTGGGGTGAGGGTATACTACGATTGTTTTTAAGTATCTCGATTTCTATCAGTAGTAGTTTTACTGGTGTTGAATGCCCAACATTAAACACATCACTTGATAAGACACCAGAAGTGTTGAAACAAAATGGCTATTTTTGTAGTGATTTTATAGTATATTGATGTTATAATTTTCGAATAAATTATATTTGCACTACTCCGTATTAAGCACTCTTTTAAAAATAGTATTTTTTGGTTATTGGAATTTATTCCGTATACACTAATGCTATACTTGTATATAATATATATATATATATATATATATATATATATATATATATATATATATATATATATATATATTTATAATACTTTTATTATAATAAATTACAATAAAACATTTTACATCGCCACACAAAAACTTTCATGCTTCGGTACTAAGATGGTACTTCTTCAGGCGATGGTAGATAACTAGTATCTACCATCGTCTATAGAAATACCATCTTAGTACCAAAAGCATAGTAAGTATTGGCTTCCAAGAAGATCTGAACGAGAGGATATGCTTTCTTGCTGGGCTGTGGCGCTATTTGTTATCGAGTAGTAGACTGTGGTTTCTCGTACAAAAGGGACGAGAGTTCGAACTCTACCAGAGAGCACATTTTACTTTATTAAGTATCTTGATTGGCCATACCGATAAAGTTAATTCACACAGCTAAAAAAACAGGTCGTCTACTCAAACATGGCTATCCCCAATATAACGTTTAGAGTAATAGGAAACAAAATACTGATGCCTAAACAAATTTTGTATGTTTCAAATATAGGAACGAGCAAAAGATTACTTTTTGCAATTATATAAGTAATTTATTAATCATTTCACCCCAAGTAAGGCGATAGCGCCTCTAAGACACGAGTAGTTACTGAGTATAAAATAAACTGACAAAAAATGTTATTAAAGAGAGAAAGGTCATTAAAAGAACAGAAATTAAGGATACAGAAAATAACGATTGACAATGCATGTAAATCTTTGAAGATCAAATTGGGAAGCGGAAAAGAGTTCCACAAGCGAAAAGGTCGAGAAAAGAAACTACTAGCATAGAACTTATGGTTACATGTAACAATTTAAAAAAAAAAAAAAAAAAAAAAAAAGGTATCAGTTTAGTTTAGTAAAGTTTAGGTACCAGAGATGAAAGCTCACATCTATGGAAATAATTATAGAAAACGCAGAAGAAATTACGCCGGGATGCCAGGTCATGACAGATAACATTGCAGATTCTTCTTTGGATTTTAGCAAGAATCTCTAAATATATTGAAGAAGCACTATACCAGATGTGGCAGCAATATTCAATGTATGAACGAATAATAAATTTATAAAAGTGTAAGATAGATTCTGGTGAGAAAATTGTCTAACACATGACAGTGAGCCAAATTTCCTAACATCAAGCATACATATATGATTTCATATAATCGTTCCACAGTGGAAAACGTTAGCTCGAGAAGGCGCAATGAATCACTCACCATCAACTATGCTAATGGTAAACAAAAAAAGTTCTCTAAGACAATTCAAATGAGCAGTTACGCTTTGGAGGCATTGAAATTAACAAGCCATTTCTTGCCTCAGTTAACAACAGATTATAAGTTATTTTTTATATCAGCTACCAATTTGACCTTATCAAATCTCACCATTAAAACAAGAGTAAATAGTCGAAAGTAATACATAATTATTTTTTAAAAAAAGCAGACAATTACCTATTTCTTTAAGCCAAATTATTCGTTTATAAAACAAAATACGGTAAATTAATAATTTAATATAGTTATAGAATTTGAATATGTTAGATTGTAGCATATCACTTCTAGGATGTATTGATTAGTGGCCTAAGAAAATTGTATTTCAAATATCCGAGGTGACATCAATAAGTCCGAAGCCTGTTTCACTTTATAATACGCGATCTCCGTTATTAATATTCACCACCGAATTAAGTGCATTGACACTTGGTATTTATCGAAAATGCACGGGAAAGCAACGTAAGGGCGGTTGAGAAGTGGCTGAAGCCGAGAGGTCAGGTAAGGACCGATAACATAGCAGATTCTTCTTTGTATTTTATTAAGAATCTCTAAAAACATAGCAGAAGCGCCACTTCAATGTACCAAAGAGGAAAACTCATCAGAACAATTACCATGAAATATTTATAGAATGTTTATATTTTATTTTGGTTGGTTTCTTTTGTTTAGTGGCATACCAACACCCATGGCTTATTTAATGCCAAAATCTAAACACTTTGTAGGTAATTTCATTTTAATTTTTTAGATAGCAATAGTTTTAATGATACAAGTGTTACTAATTAACGCATAACTGGGGAGAAGAGGTAGATTCATACTTTTCCCATGGGCATTTGCGCGGAAATAACGAATCCAACTGGAATTGATACTCGGCTCTCCGATTAACATTTCCAAGACATTATCCATTACACCACCCGCACATCCGAGCTTACACTATCTGATATTCCCAAGCGATCACCCAACTAGGTACTAACCAGGCTCGGTGTTTCTTAACTTCGGTGATCGTACGGGAACCGTTGTTTCAACGTGATGTGACCTTATAGAAAATGGCTCAGATATATGAATATAAATTATTTAAACATCATTGTTTTTCAAAGTGTATATATTCAGCTTCGCAATTGTAGCATTTTACGAGATTAAGCCAAACTTTGTAAATATGTACCAAATCCCGCTTAGTTCCCCTAAATTTGCTTAAAGTGTCTAAGAAATTGAAATATAAATGCACGACGGCATTAAAAGTGACATTTATGGGAATATATTATGGTGCTTTCAACAGGAATCAAAATACCTTTATCGATGTTTATTTTCATAGAAAAAAAATCAAATTTTACGTACCCCATAACTCCAGCTTATTAGAAAACATTATTCTTCTTCTCGGGAGGGGGTGGTGAAGGTTTCTAACAAAAATCGATTTCATGCTGAATAGAAATTGATTAGATGCTTAGTGAACAACAGAAAAAAATATCGCAATTCCTATCGTAAATATTCAGACGAACTCTTTACTTTCACCAGTTCAGCTCTTTACAGCTAGAATACGTCATGATACTTCCATGGAGTCGAATCATCCTCATTTCCATCGTATTCCAAATGTAAGGAGAAAGTTCCACCCAAACATTTTTTTTTTTGCAAACTGCAATCTTGTGTAACGACTCCCTCGTTTATGCTCTCTTGAACAATTTAAACTTAACCTCTTCAAGTTAAGAGCCAATCGTTATCTGTCCTTTTTTTTAATTCATAATTTTCACTTCTTACCACTTCTTTCATCCATATCTCATACCTCATTCATCATAACCATTTTAACAGTAGCCCGCTATCTGGAGTGGCTCTCGGGTATGTTATAAAAAGTGATGCACAGGCAGAGATAGAAATAAACGAAAATAAGTAGGCACACAAATGTGCACATAAAAATACGAGAAAGAAAAAGAAAAAAAAAACATTGCCCAATTTAACAATCCTGGGGTAGGAAATGTCTGGGTGTAACTTCCACTTTACCGGTGAAATATGAAAGGAATGAGGATCTCGAGTCAGTGTACGTAGCCTGACGGGTCCTAGCTATGAAAGTCTGAACTGGGGGATCTAAGAAATGTTGTTCGCCTGAACATCTGCCACGAAAATAAGGATAGAGTAACAAGAGGCTAGCAACATTTCGTCTATTAGGTTGAAAAACAATTCGTCACACAAGGCAACGTAAACGGTTTTGAACTCTGTCAAAGCTGGAAAATGAGGATTGAGGATCTCCAATCCAGATATAGCAACAGTACTCCATTTTTGTTAGACATTTTCATGACGGTCGTCCTCGAGTATAGAATCCAGAGGTTGGCAGTGAATATTTCGGAGACAGTAGGAAAGTTCAGGTTCGCAGTGGATATCACAGCAGAGTTCTTCCTTCTGGTCCTTCCGGTAGGGAAAACAAAGATGGCCGACTTTATACACGACGGATACAGTGTTCTGCGGCTCCTGATTGGTTAATCTTCTATTGGTAGACTATAAAGGGAAATAAGTCATTTTGACTCGCTCACTAGTTATATATAGTATATACCCAAAAAACCGTAACATCCAGATCTTGTAAAGATAAAGCATAGTATGGAGACTCAGGTTGTTTCTGAATCGATACAAGCCAGGGAACATTTTTCCAGCATCTTCAGCAGTGGATCGTATATACGAGTTCCACTTGAGGTCTGGGATGAGCTCCATTCCCAATAGATGTTCCATGCAATGAACTTCATTGTGAATACAGCCGTTCATCGCTAGTAGAGAAAACTTAGTTGTACCGTCCGGTCTTTGTGGCACTAGTCATTGACCACCGTCTATTGCGGAATGGACAACCACGTCCTGGCACAACACAGAAAGAAGCTACAGTACTTACAGCGTACAACGGATCTAGTATCCCGCAGCATGGATCCATACAGATTCAATGTGCATACAAGGGTGCATGGAGGTATGTAAAATTCTACGTAGTGACCTCCAAGGGACCTACCATACTAGGTTTACCCTCCCTTCAGGACTTAAAACCGGTTACCCTACACTGTTCCATTCAGAGAACAAAGTGTTCCCCAGTCAATTATGCAACAGGTACCCCAGTTACTCCATCAGTCAATACACCAATCAACTCCACGAAAGATCTGATTGAAGCATATCCGGATCAATTTGATCGGATTGGTAACTTCGCAGGGGAATACTACATGGTACTTCGACCAAATGACCATCCGATAGTTCATGCAACCAGAAAATGTCCCATCCACATGAGAGACGAAATAAAAGCAGAACTAGATGGAAAGATTTCCCAAAGAATAATCCGCAAAGTCGATGAACCTACAGATTGGGTTAACAGCATTGTGTATGTGCGCAAGAGCAACGGCAAACTCCGCCTATGTTTAGATCCCAAAGATCTAAATAAGGTCATCGCTGCCACCACAAAACTCCAACCATGGAACAGCTCTCACACAAGCAGTCCAGCGCCAAATTTTTCTCCAAGCTAGATGCAAAAAATGGCTACTGGTCTGTCAAGCTTGACAGGGAGTCACAATTGCTAACTACATTTAATTCTCCCTTTGGAAGGTACTGTTTTCGAAGAATGCCCTTTGGCCTAGTTATGTCTCAGGATGTTTGTCAACAAAGAATGGACATGATCATAGAAAAGTGCACTGGAGCTTTAGCGTTGATCGATGAAGTTATCATCCACAGAAAAACCAAAGAGGAAGACGATCTCAACTTACGAAAGTTGATGGAGACAGCACGAACTGCTGGTCTCACATTTAACAGTAGCAAATGTGCAATCGACCAGGGACAACTTAAATTCTTCGGTGCCATCTTCGACAGGAATGGGATACATCCAGATCCTCAGAAAGCGGAGGAAATAAAATCACTCCGCAGTCCCAGAAATATTACCGAGCTGCAGAAGGTACGAGGAATTATTACCTACATGGCGCCATTCATTCCTAGGCTTTCAGACCTCACGGCAAGCCTCAGGGAACTCTTGAGAAAAAATACTGCCTATGTTTGGAGCAATAGCCACTAGAAGTCACTGCAAGAAATAAAGGACTTGATATGCAAAGAAATGCTACTACACTATTATGACCCTTCTAAAAAGTCCATAATACAAGTCGATGCATCATCTAGAGGCTTGGGAGCAACACTAATCCAAGAAGGCAAACCCATAGCTTTCGCTTCAAAATCCCTGACTGAAACAGAGCAGCGCTATGCCAATATCGAGCAGGAGATGTTAGCTGTTGTATTCGGCTGCGAACGATTTCGCACATATATTTACGGATGTTCATTCGAAGTTGAAAGTGACCACAAACCCTTGGAAATGATTTGCCTCAAGAACCTAACAGCAGCACATCCCGACTTCAACGAATGCTATTAAGATTCCATGAATATGACATGGTCATCAAATATTGACCAGGCAAAGAGATGCTACTGGTAGATGGACTATATAGAGTTCCTAACAAGAAGAAGTCATTGACTTAAACATCAAAGTAGACTTTGTGCAATTCTCATCTAAAAAATTAACTCAGATCCGTCAAGCAACTAATGCCGACCCAATATTGTGTGAATTAAGAGCACGTATTCTGCAAGGGTGGCCAGAATCTCGCAGAGAACTACATAAAGACCTTCATCCATACTGGTCTTATCGAGATGAGCTCTCTATTGAGAATGTCATTTTGCTCAAAGGTGACAGGATACTGATCCCTAAATCAATGCAGCCCGAAACACTGTAAAAATTACATTATGCTCACCAAGGGAACGAAAAATGCAAGCTCAGGACAAAAACATGTGTTTTCTGGAGTGGCATAAATAGCGACATCGACAAAATAGTACAATGCGTCATATGTCAAGAACTCCAGAAGTCCCAAACTGCAGAGTCCCTAATGCCACACGAGATCCCAGTACGACCATGGCAAATCGTGGCTACTGATATTTTCAACCTTAACAGGCATAATTACCTCCTCATTGTGGATTACTACTCCAAATACCCCTTCGTCCGCAAACTAAGGGAATTCTCCAGCAAGGAAGTCATTGATCTTACCAAGCAAATATTTGTTGAACAAGGAGTCGCGGAAAGGCTTATCAGTGACAATGGGCCACATTTTAGCTTTAAAGAATTTACCAAAGCATGGGATTTTGAGCACATCACCTCTTCTCCCAAATACCCCCAATCGAATGGCATGGCAGAGAGGTGCATACAAACCATCAAGGGAGACATGAAGAAGGCCATACTAAGCAACCGAGACGTAGATATGAGTCTGCTGTGTCTCCGACAGGACAGGTTCTTCGCAGAAACCGTAGGCATCTCAAGGAAGATGTTAGCAACAAGGCACTGACGTCTCTCCATCGTACGTCCCTGCCTCTCTCTGAGCCTCCACCCCCTAATATTCGAAACACACCTCCTGCAGGTACACCCAACACACCCTCCAACATCTGCACTCCATCTAAAGCAACACTCAGACCTGCACATAAAACGCAGCCTAGGGCATCACACCAACAAAAACAATCACTAGATCTGGTCGTGTCATAAACCTCCCCAAAAATACAACTTATAGAAAGAGTTCATATAAATTTTTTTATTTCAGTGAACAATTCTTATAAAGAAAGGAGGATGTCATGACATGAGTTACTTCCCCTGGATAGCCAGTTACTTACTTGAATAAAAGAGGTCGCTTTGTTTTCAGGACCGAGCGTTTCCTCCCTTGTAAGCTTAACATGTCTTGTCGTTCTCTCTTGTTCTTTACTGTTATTTCTAACAAATACCATAGCAGTTACTTTGAAACTATGTAGTTTGTTGTTTGAAATTGAAATAAATTGTTTGTGACATCAATCCCATTACTTTTCAGACAGATCTTGTATAGTTATTTGATGGTATGTATGACAAGCTTTCTACCCCCATCCAGAAAAGTGTCTAAAATACCTGGAAAATCTTATATATGTTAGTAAAATTAGATGAGAATACAACGAAATAGTAAATATATAAGACAATTTGGAAAACATGTTTGGCCGATGAAACTATCATGAGAAAAAGAATTTTATTTCATTAAAAAAACATTTACATCTACATTAACAAGACACGTTTGATTGAGTCGCATAACATGAATCGTGTTTTGTCTCACTTAGGTAGATTTTGTTGAAATAAAATTCAATTTCTAATAACGCCAGTTCACCGACGGATTGTGTCGAAATAGATGTTTTAGATATTACTAAATCACTAAAGTTATTATATACAACTACGAATAAAGCTAAGTTTTCCTTTTGTCTTTATTCATACTGTCTTTTCACAGGTATATAATACCAAAAATTATATACAGCTATACTAACAGTTTCAATTATTAGTGAAAAAATATAAAACTGATTCGCTGCTATTCGTAATAAAATATATATAAGAATTAAATATGATTTTCTGACTGGAAATCAAGGAGTCACCCGTGACAGAGCAGGCAGGATAGCAAAAAGGATAATTATTCCATATAGTTTTCTTAGTTTTGTTCTGTATTTTTCTCTCGCTTTTCAATAAACTAAATAGAAATCCGATTGTTTTTTAAAACTTGGTTCTGTATGTAAAATTTCTAGACGAAAAGTTTTCATTTTTATACATTTTCGTCTGATCTTATTTTTAATTTTATCTGGTACGTATTATGTCTTCACTGGTGTCTTTCTTTGGTTTATTCCATCAGCCTTTACTTTACTTGCTTATTTCAATATTCTATTCAACATTATCTTATCTTCATCATTCCTTCATACTGCATCATTTGTTTTCGTATTTACGTGCTTTTATACGTATGTGTGCTTGTCAAGAACTGCGCACGCGCACGAGCATGCGTATCACATACGTGTGTGAATGCATTTATTATACTTGTCAGAATTTTTCTTATCTACGCCGAGGAATTTTTCCGAAGATAAAATGAGATTCTATTTTGGTGAATCTTTATTCTTCTGTTCTTCAAATATTTACCAGCCTATTTTTTTTATGTTTCTTTCTTCTCCGTTTTTCTTTATCACTTTTTTCTGTTTTGTTTTTGTTGTTTTTTTATCGTGTATAGATTTGCATTCTATTCTTTTCCTCATACAAATTATCTTTACTTTTTTTACCCTCTTATGTTTCTTTTCCATTCCTTTTTTCATTATCCAAATCTAACTTTTTAACATAACCACTTTTATTCTTCAATCAATTCTTTGTCATTATTGTCGTTTCTTTAAACATTTTTCTTTTCAACACGGTATCTTTTTTTATGTATATATCTTACCTCCGTTTTTCATTACTTTAACTATTATCCTTTTTGTTCTTTTTTTTTCCCAGGTAACTTTTTCTTCATTTATATTCCAAGACTTTTCGAAACATGAACGATCGTGTTTCTCCGCAGCTTCCTACATTTTGTTACGTTAAAAAAAATTAATCTTTACCATCCATCCTTGTCGCTGTTCTACCATCCATTCACATAAAATCGTAAAGCAGATTAATCCTTATTTTCCCGTGATTTTCTTGCTTTCATTTATATCCTGTGAGTGTTAAATTCTCTACACCCACTTTTTTTCAACTGCCTCGTTCTGATTGTTAGTATAAGTTGTTTCTATTTTCTTTACGAGTTCTTCGTTGATCACATGTTTATTACGTGGTATTCTAAGCATTTGTCGGTATTACCACACACTACCACCCCAAGTGTCTATAGATGTGCGTAAATCGTCTAGAATTCGCTAAAATATAGGAAATTTGATGTTATATAGCAATTCAGCAAACTTTTCTGGCTCTCTATAATTTCCTGCCTTTTGCTGCTCTAAGAAATTTTAACATTTTACCTCTCCTGTTTGTCCTGTCCTGCCATCTATTCACACACTTATCAAGTTGCTTATCCCTGCTTCTTTTGCCTTCTGTATGTCCTGCAAGCCTTAAATTCTATAGGCCCTCTTTCCTCATTATGTGTCCTAGTATTATTTTCTTTCTTGCTCATTATATTTACCTATATTTTAATACTTTACTTGGTTTCTGGACGACATCTTTGGCTCTTTTTCTTTCCAGGCAAAACGGCTCATTGGACGTTTCGCCCATCTTTTAATTGTTTTATATTTTCAATAAATTATAATTAAATATAGAAAGTTTATACTTTATAAAGCGTAATACTTTAAAATCGATTCTTCCATTGTGTCTGTCTCCAACGTTTTTATTTTCATTCAAAATCCTCTACTTTCACTTTTTACACCTTTTATTCTTTACGTCATATTTATCCTTTCCTTTCTTTTGCCTTTAGTCTTATATACATATATATATATATATATATATATATATATATATATATATATAGAGAGAGGGAGAGAGAGAGAAGAAAGAGAGAAAGAGAAAGTTAATACAAATATAAAGTTTGTCACTTGGTTGGTGTTACTTTCAGCATCCTGACTCCAGAGTTTCGTAGACGGACCTTCCAAAAATCACACCGACCACTCGTTAGGGGGTATTAGCAATTGACTGTTTATATGTCTAATTTTATATATATATATATATATATATATATATATATATATATATATATATATATATATAAACACTCAATATAAACCTCAATTCCTTAGTTTTGATTTAACCGTTTTCTTTTAATTATGTTTATGTATGTTGGTTTGGGAAAGGAGTATTTCTTTTAGGAAAGGATATATAAGATCTCGCGTGCACACACACTCAATGAAAGACAAATCAACCTTGCACCAATGGAAAGTGCATATATATATATATGATTTGTCTTTCATTGAGTGTGCGTGTATGCGCACGAGCTTATATATCCTTTCCTAAAAGAAATACTCCTTTCCCTAACCGACATACATAATCATAACTAAAAGAAAACTCAAATCAAAACCTTCTATTATATGAAATAAATAAATAATTTATCAAATTAATATAAAATAATAAACAATAATTATATATATATATATATATATATATATATATATATATATAAAATAAGAAAATAAATCTTCAATAACAACATTTACTCACTTTTGTTTATTAGACATTAAATTATATCACTTAACATCGTCCGCAGTTCACTTTTACTTTCACTGTTAACCTTACGAATACTTTTGGGAGTGTTTAATTTAAAAAAAAAAATAAAACCTAATGATACTGCTTATTGCAAAGTTGCATGTTGCAAAGTAAAATCCTAGCTTGCTTTTACCTTGATAAAGTCCATCAGAGGCCGGAACGCGTTTTTAAAAAAAATCTTTTCCGTTTGTCTTTATCCACACACACATATATATATATATATATATATATATATATATATATATATATATATATATATATACAGTGTAACCCGGATATAAGAGACCCGGATATAAGAGAAACCCGGATATAAGAGAGATTTTCTCTAATCCCAAATTAGAGCCTGTGTTAATGTATATAAAATAGACCAAACCCGGATATAAGAGAAACCCGGATATAAGAGAAACCCGGATATAAGAGACTTCTTCTCCGCTCCCGACAACTCTCTTATATCCGGGTTACACTGTATATATATATATATATATATATATATATATATATATATATATATATACGATTTTTAATTTCGTCATTTCTTCTTCTCTGTTATTTCTATAATACTTTGTTACGCTTTCTTTTATTTTTCTTTTCATCTATCTTTATCCACTATATACTGTTTCCTTTCTCTTGTAGGCTTCCTTCTCCCGGCTTTATACCACATTTTCATCGCTACATAACAGCTCTTTCTTTTAGGCACTTTAAGCCAATCTTTCTTTCTTGCTCAAAAGTACCTACACCACTTACCTGTGTTATTTTCAAGACACCCATCAATCAAGCAAATAGATTCGTTCAATTAATTCATATTTTTAATTTTACCCTAATAGTATTTTCTTGTAAAGGGCGTTAGTTTAACATCTGCTTTCGGAACATTTGCTGGCACTTATCAACAGCGCATTAAACTAATGACTAATTTCCTCAATCGAGCAGCATGTTCCAAGCTAAGATAAGTTGAGTAAATATCATTCAGGCTATTTGCCTTACATTATATAAAATTCTCAATTTGTAAGTGTTTTGCATTGGATGAACTTGTACGCCTAGCAAAAGTGGTAAGTTCTACTGACATCAACTATGTTTGTAAGTCAGATAAATAGCTGATATATATATATATATATATATATATATATATATATTGTTTTAAGCAAACACTGTTTAGAGTTTGTTTTTTTTTAACCAAGGCGCTTTTCGGAAACACTTTTTCAGGGACCATCAATGGCAAATTTATTGTATCAAAATTGGTATGAATAGATAAGTAATATGGAGGAAAACTTGGGATACGTCTAAAACATGTAAATTAACGATTAAAATATACGTAAATTCAAAAGTTTTAAATATTCCAGCGTGAGTGTAAAATATGAAATAAATTAAGTGCATATTTATTTTGCATTTTTAATACAAAATTCGAGCACAAGGCCGAAGAGGGAGTGGGTAATGGCTGATACTCAGTAACTATTCTAGTCCTAGTTAATCACAATCATAACCCATTCATTCAATACAATATACTCAATCACCACAAAAACTTGTCCATCATCTCTCAATCCTACATGAACAAAAATACCAAATATTCACGAGAAACGTACAAAACACCCCATGATGTAAAAAATTATAATGTCTTTTTTGGTCTCTCAAATGCTTGCGACCACCGCACAAGAGAGAAGCCAACAAACGATCGAGCGCCTTCTTTCTGTTCTTGTAGGGAGGAAGTACATCCAATCGATTAACGATAATGGGCAAGGCGTAAGTGGCACACGCCTCCGCCTTACCCATCACGGACAACCGCCGTCGAAGCCAAGTCCGAACCGCCGCTTCGACATTTGATTGTACTTCAGACCAATTCTTCTTTAGCTGGAGACTGAGCCCGAACTATACTCCAAGAATGCGGACAGGTCCGTCTGTCCAACTAAAGAGCCCCAGAAGCACCCCCCTTCCAGGAAACTAACCCGTTCCGGGTGACTTGTCGCGATTAATATTGGCCTGCGTCGCCTTCTCGTACCGCTCTTGCGCCTTCTGTATTATCTCCATGTCGCTACGGCACGACACGAAAATAGACACGTCATCAGCGTACGCAAAAATCCTGGCTCGACCTCCAGGTACGGCAATTTCGCGTGGGGCTGGACTGCACGCCTGTCCCTTAGCCAGTAAAGGAGGTCTCCAAAGGCCAAAGCGTAAATTAAGGGCGACAGCGGATAACCCTGACGAACCGACCTAGACAGCGCAAAAGCACTCAACCGCTTCCCGTTCACCTGTACCACAGCACTGGGACTGAACCACTTACAGAAGTCGGTTTTGAATCCGGCGGCCTGCAGGACAGCCGCCAGGTACCGATGGTCGACCCTATCGAATGCCTTGGACTGATCTAAATTGATCAGCGCGGCTACCTCGTCGCCTTCTACACTCTCTATTATTGTATGGACTAGATGGAGGTTGCTTAGAATTAGAATTATTCGTCCCCTCACAGCATAAGTTTGCTCGGGTCCCAACAAGCTCGCGACAACTGACTGCAAACGCTCCGTCGGGATCCTGGCCTAAATCTTTAACTCCGTGTTTAGCAGATTTATGGGCCTATAATCATCTAATTCCCGCTCGACACCCTTGCTCTTTCTCAACAACTTAATCACACCCCTGGAGATCCGATCGGGGATGGACCCCTGCCAGAACCAGTTGTTGAACATCACTGTCAAAATCGGAATAAAGATGTGCGACAGCCTCAAGTACAATTCGTAGGGCAGATCATCAAATGCCAGAGACTTGACACTACCGACCCTCTTCAATGCCAAGTGAACTTCGTCTTCTATGATCTCACTCTCACATATGCACTTGGTCAACCTCAGAGCATGCCAGGATATTGACCTAGTGAATGTATCAATCGGAACCTCGACGGATCTCTTCCTTGCGCAATCCTGCACCCATATTCACAGCTTCATTACACATCTTGTTTAACAATATATCTAATTACCTGATCCTGATAGCGCTTGCTAGCCTCACGCTACAGAGCCTGTCTAGCTAGCGCTACCTCTAGGAAATCTCCCCCAGCCTCTGCCCAGGACAGACTATCCTCTAGAGTCTTCACCATCTTAGCCCTGTCTAAGGCGAGTCGTTGGCTATATTCGGTG